ATGCAGCGCATAGTTTCTTCGACCAGCTTAGTACAAGACTCCCTGTTGTGGATCTCTCCCGTTGTGGGTGAAATGCCTTGGGAATCTGCTAGGAGTGACGTATCGAACTTGCGAACATCGACCCTAGACGGGTTCTATCCTGGTTTCCTGCGAGGGATACTACGTGTTTGCCCTCGCGTGATGTCAGTGACTTGGAAGGTGATGTAGTTGTGGAGCTGTTATTATTATTATTATTATTGTTATTATTATTATTATTATTATTATTATTATTATTATTATTATTATTATTATTATTATTATTATTATTATTATTAATTACTATGTATCTAAATCTTCTATTCCCATTTGTCTGTAAGAAAACATTTTTCTGTAGACCAAATAAATAAATAAATAAATAAATATCGATATACGTATGTATGTAAGTTCAACAAAAATCTACCAAAATTAGAAAAAACTTACCTTTTTACCAAAGTGGCAACCCTGCCCGCAAACATAGTTGACCGCGAAAAAAAGTTTACGCGTCCTTCTTCGCCGTAAAATATTTTAACGCGTCTTTCTTCGCCGTCAACTGTGTTAAGAGACTTTCTTCGCTGAAGTTTTTATTGTGCGCCGTTTATCGCGGTCAATTTTTGAGGCCGCGCCTTTATTCGTGTCTAGTGACGAAACAGTGTACTTTTTGTTTTGTATAAAGTAAAGTTATATCAAAAAATTTTGTTTTACAATTTCTTTTGAAACCTGCGTTTTACCTGTATCATTTTCTCTGTGTACGAGCTATATATTCCATAAGTTTCGTATTCATTTCGCAGCCTTAATATTGCGAATTATACAAATTACGCAAATCAAGCAAATGTTTATTTTATAAAGAGTGAGCTGGTAGAGTCGGCTAGTATCGGTATTTCGTCTATGATACGCACACCTAATTCCTGAGTAACATAAGCTGCTTACTCTAAACAGTCAAAACGCTAGAGTCGATTAAAATTCACAAGGTAAAAACCAGGTTTTTTTTTAATACACTGCCATTATTCGGAGGTATCCACTTATTGCATTAAAACTGTCATCTTTTCCCTTCAAAATGCCGCCTGAAGTGGGTACGTATCTTAAAAAGGAAACATTTTAGAGCTAAATTTGTGAAAGCGTACAAATTTCGATTTTTAAAACTTTTGATTCGGACAGGCGGAAACGGGCGTTTTTAAAAATTTAATTTTGCGTAAATTCTCTTCTTTGGCACACAAAAGAAGAAGCCTTCAAAGTTTTTGCAAAATCTAAAATGGGTCCGCGACGATTTTTTGTATTTTCAGACGTTTTCATATGGAATGACTCTAACAATGCCAAACACTAACATATCTGTAAGCGCCAATATATCATTATTATTTTTTATTCTTAGAATGGACTATAGTTGTAAGTGGAAGTAAATGTTAATATGCCAATAAATTGCACATGTTGATTTAAATAGATAATTAAATAATGTTTACTCTTTTTTCAGTAAATCGGAAAGATATGGGTTAGTTTTACGGTGATGATTGTCAACAGAATTGCCCGCAGAAACCATAAACCGAATTACCGCATCCCTAAAAGACGCAATTCATGCATACGAGGTATGGCTTTATCACCAAAGAAGAAAAAAACATTCAAACCATCTTCGTGCTCCTTTTCAATCTTTGTGCAAAACAAAACAACGGCGTCTCAAATATGGGCACTTAGTGTACTAATCGGCATCATATGCCCATTACACATTGTTCATTGTGTAGATCCAAAGTTTGATCCTTCAACACGTATGCGGCTCGTTTTGGTGCCGGCGGATGCGCAAGTTGGCTCTGTAATATATCGATTACGTGGCACAGACGAGGAGTTTGACTATCCACTGGCGTTTGAACTTATAGACGATGCAGCATCGTCTACCGTTAGAATTGAATCCCTTCCGTGTACAAAATATAATTCCGTTTGCCAAGCAAATGTAGTGTTACAACAACGTTTGGAACCGGGACGCTACTACGACTTCCAGGTATCAGTTAAGGACACCAAGGGTGGTACGGCCAGCCAGTTGTGTTCGATTACTGCTACCAATATTACAACACCACACGATCTCATATTCCCACATAAACCGGGTATTATAATGATTCCAGAGGTAAGGCTAATAGTAGTATTAGTAATTTGATTTATTTCTAGTAGTAATAGTAATTTAATTTATTTTCTTCTTCTTTGATTACAAAACGCTTTGAAAAATTCAAAAAATTAAAATAAATAAAAGATCATAGAATATAACAATAGTTGTGTTTGTTTACTCATTTCCAGTAAAATCAAGTAAAAGTTTTTACGAATTCACGATTTTATTATTATTATTACCAGCCAATGCCCACTTACTTCGCGGCGCTTATTTAATTAGAACTTTTGCTTTGGCCAATGCCAAAGGGTTTAAAAGCAAAAATAGTCTGCAAAGTCAAAATTTTTGGTTTAAGTTGAAACCACCAAAGCGCAGTATCCTCCTCACACATTGGCCAATAATAGTAACTCTGTGATACCATATGGAATACCAATCCCTTTCGGTGTCATGAGCTTTACCGATGGTCTTATTTCCACCTGTGAGATCTCTGCCAAGCATGCGTAATCTTTTTCTAATCTAATCTTTCAACTACAACATTGGTGCGATGCGTATGTTATTATAAGGAAACTCAAGAGCACAGAAGTGCGTTTTCTGTTATAGGAGGGCCAAGAATCCTCGCTGTCCCACAGGTGAAAAGTTTTCCGGTACATTGGCTAAATGAGTCGTGTAACCTCTTGAATATCTTTCAGTTGAAGCAATTGATATTCCTACGGTGATCCTTCCTTGTTAATTCGCCACTTTTACAATCCGTGGTAATATTTATGAACTGATTTCTAGGCAGATGCCAGATAGGATGGTCGCGCATGAGGGCGTCAGACAAACTTAACCCCATCCTTCATTTAGACATCTGAAAACTAAATTCGTATAATTTAAACATAGGGCCAAAGCAGACCAACCGCACGGGGTTTCTATACATTTCGGCTGCAGCGCCATCCATTGGGACCATTTTCTGCAAAACCATTAATTATAATAATAATAATAGATTGGCGCTTACACATATGTTTCTTTCTATGATCTTTCAACTACAACATTGGTGCGATGCGTATGCCAATAAAAGTTATTATAAGGAAACTCAAGAGCACAGAAGTGCGTTTTCTGTTATAGGAGGGCCAAGAATCCTCGCTGTCCCACAGGTGAAAAGTTTTCCGGTACATTGGCTAAATGAGTCGTGTAACCTCTTGAATATCTTTCAGTTGAAGCAATTGATATTCCTACGGTGATCCTTCCTTGTTAATTCGCCACTTTTACAATCCGTGGTAATATTTATGAACTGATTTCTAGGCAGATGCCAGATAGGATGGTCGCGCATGAGGGCGTCAGACAAACTTAACCCCATCCTTCATTTAGACATCTGAAAACTAAATTCGTATAATTTAAACATAGGGCCAAAGCAGACCAACCGCATGGAGTTTCTATACATTTCGGCTGCAGCGCCATCCATTGGGACCATTTTCTGCAAAACCATTAATTATAATAATAATAATAGATTGGCGCTTACACATATGTTTCTTTCTATGATCTTTCAACTACAACATTGGTGCGATGCGTATGCCAATAAAAGTTATTATAAGGAAACTCAAGAGCACAGAAGTGCGTTTTCTGTTATAGGAGGGCCAAGAATCCTCGCTGTCCCATAGGATGAAAAGTTTTCCGGTACATTGGCTGAATGAGTCGTGTGATCTCTTGAATATCTTTCAATTGAAGCAATGATATTCCTACGGTGATCTTTCCTTGTTAATTCGCCATTTTTACAATCCGTGGTAATATTTATGAACTGATGTCTAGTTAGATGCCATATAGCATGATCGTGCATGAAGGCGTCAGACAAACTTAACCCCATCCTTCATTTAGACATCTGAAAACTAAATTCGTATAACCTAAACATAGGGCCAAAGCAGACCAACCGCACGGGGTTTCTATACATTTCGGCTGCAGCGCCATCCATTGGGACCATTATCTGCAAAACCATTAATAATAATAATAGATTGGCGCTTACACATATGTTAGTGTTTGGCCGAGCTTCTCCTCCGATTTGAGTCGTGCGCCTTGATGTTGTCATATAAGCTGTTTTATAAGAAGCTGTTTTTCATGGCAGAAATGCACTCGGAGGTTTGCCATTGCCTCCCGAGGGACGACCGCTGTTGAGAAAAAACTTTTTTTCTATATTTTTTGCGAAGTTTCTTTGACCAGGGTTTGAACCCAGGTGCTGAAAAACCATTGCTTACGATAAAATGAATACGTGTTATGAATTTCAACCTCGACTCCAGCGGCACTTATCGGGTCAATTTTTATCAAAAGCATTCTTCATCATACAGGTACATAGTTCACATTTAAAATTTGAACGAAATCGGTTAATTGTTCGATTTTTATAAATAACTCTACTCCAGCACCACTTAGCGAGTTTTCTAGCAGCATGTAATAGGGCCATATACATATGTAAGACAATCTGCGACAATCTAACGGAACTCTAGTCAGTGGTTTTTGAACAATGAAACGAAACTCGGAAAATCAAAAGCTCCATTCTTTGTGCAAAATTTAAAAAAATTTCTTCAAAATGTTCACATAAATTTTACCTTTTACTAAAAACTNCAGATGCCAGATAGGATGGTCGCGCATGAGGGCGTCAGACAAACTTAACCCCATCCTTCATTTAGACATCTGAAAACTAAATTCGTATAATTTAAACATAGGGCCAAAGCAGACCAACCGCACGGGGTTTCTATACATTTCGGCTGCAGCGCCATCCATTGGGACCATTATCTGCAAAACCATTAATAATAATAATAGATTGGCGCTTACACATATGTTAGTGTTTGGCCGAGCTTCTCCTCCGATTTGAGTCGTGCGCCTTGATGTTGTCATATAAGCTGTTTTATAAGAAGCTGTTTTTCATGGCAGAAATGCACTCGGAGGTTTGCCATTGCCTCCCGAGGGACGACCGCTGTTGAGAAAAAACTTTTTTTCTATATTTTTTGCGAAGTTTCTTTGACCAGGGTTTGAACCCAGGTGCTGAAAAACCATTGCTTACGATAAAATGAATACGTGTTATGAATTTCAACCTCGACTCCAGCGGCACTTATCGGGTCAATTTTTATCAAAAGCATTCTTCATCATACAGGTACATAGTTCACATTTAAAATTTGAACGAAATCGGTTAATTGTTCGATTTTTATAAATAACTCTACTCCAGCACCACTTAGCGAGTTTTCTAGCAGCATGTAATAGGGCCATATACATATGTAAGACAATCTGCGACAATCTAACGGAACTCTAGTCAGTGGTTTTTGAACAATGAAACGAAACTCGGAAAATCAAAAGCTCCATTCTTTGTGCAAAATTTAAAAAAATTTCTTCAAAATGTTCACATAAATTTTACCTTTTACTAAAAACTAAAAACAAAGTTACAATAGATCAATGGGATTTAGAAATCTAGGAGAAAATCGTTCCCAATCGAATGATACTTGCGCGTTTACGTAAATGCATATCGATGCAACCTTTCCAATAACTACCACTTTTCGCCATTGGTACGGTATTGTTAACATATGCNGCAACCCTTCCAATAACTACCACTTTTCGCCATTGGTACGGTATTGTTAACATATGCAGCTGTGTCGAATTTCAGGACGTTAGCGTAAGCAGTTGCAAATATAAGCTATATAATGCAATGCAATTGCAATATGTGCATCAGTACTAAGTAGGGTTGCCAGATTTTGAAACGGAGAAAGGAGTACATTTATATTTTCGGTAGAAAAAAAGCAGTACAAGACTTAAAAAAGGAGTACATTTTTTTAATTTTTTGTGCAATTTATTGTTACAAATTACCATTAATTAGGTACAAATAAACAAAGATATTTTAGAAATCTTTTTAAAAGCAACAATAAATGTTAAAAATAAATAACTAAATGGACTGGCTTTCCAATAAGGGCGGTCGTTAAAGAGATGTTGATCAAAGGGAGAGTGGGCGTGGCACCCAATTGTGATATTTGGCGATTTTTCTAGGGACCCCTTCGCTCACCACCTCTTCAATGACCGCTCTATAGGAAATTTTCCCTAACTAAATCCTACAAAAGAATACCAAACTTTTTCTGAATATATGGCCAGTTTTTGAATTTAAGCCTTATAATTAATTAAATATTTTTCTGATTTTTATACCCGAGCGCTCTGCACCTACCTTGCTACGACCATGCCTGCACCTTTTCACTATTACACTTAACTTTGCTTACTAAGTAGTGTTTGCCACAATATGAATGGCAAAGTACAGGGCGTAAGATAATAACTGTCGCACAGGTTTTTTGAAAAATAAAAGGGTCCTTTATAGATGTTGCGAAAAGGAGTATTTTTTTGTTAACTTTGTAAATACTTTACATTAATTTTATTAATTAGTTTTAAAATTTTAATCCTTATTTGCATTTGCCAGCTTTGGGAGATAAGTTCACGCGGCACTCACGTCTTTTATAGGTGTACTTTTTCTTAGACTTTGTATAAAAAAAAGGAGAAAAAAAAAAATGTATAGGGTTGGTCGTATGAATGCCCTCCTAGTCACCGGTTCGGAGTCTTTTCGATTGCTGAGAAGGAGGCCTTATGTTGGACAAAAGACGGAGTATAAAGGACTCAAATGAGGGAAATTAGCCTATATTTACAGAAGATATGTAATAAAGTAACCGATGAAGACTTGCGTGCCGCTTGCGTTTTTCTCCCAAACCCGCTGGTAAACCCAAATGAAGGTCAAAATTTAAAAACGAATTAATAAAATTTTCGCAAAATCTATAAAGGTCCCTTTTATTAAAAACAAAAAAAACTGTGCGACAGTTATTATTTTACACCCTGTATATGATAAAATATTAATAGCTGGAAAAAGTAGAACAAAAGAAGTACAAAACTAATAAAGGAGTACATTTCCATATATTTTTTTTGGGAGTACAAGGGAGTACATTGCAATAAAAAGGACTACGTGTACTCCCAAAAGCAGTACGTCTGGCAACCCTAGTGCAAAGCTTCAGTTCCGCAGCGTAATTAGTTTTAGA